AAAAAACTTGCTCAAGAAGATCAATACCACATTAATAACAATATCTATTAATCCATGTTTGTCTTGGAATTCATGCCGCCTGGTTCACTCAATTAAATGAACTCAATTTTTGTTGGTGCGCGGCTACAATAAAATGTCACACTTTTAACATTAGACCAAATGCCAATAAAGGCAATAATGAAGACAATAGCATTAAGATGGTTTGTTAGGCCTATCGAATTGGTTTCAATGTAAAATATATATTATGCAGACGAACACAACGACACAAAACCAAAGCAAATCTACATATTTGAAATGTGATGCACAAAAAATTGAAGATGCTCAATTTATGCAGCAGCCACTTGAAAGGCAAGAGCGACCCCACATTGTATATAAACTATGTAGATCATTAGGCCTATATCCAGTAAACCAATTCAATTCGATACTAAAACATCAGCGCGGTGTGTCGGGACAAACTAAGCGCGAAACGTCTAAGGAAAATTAAAAAAAAAAAAAAACGCAAACGAAAAATATCAGCGCAAAAGCTGCTGAAGTGATTGTGAAGTTATTAAAATTTTAAAAAATATATTTTTATTAAAACGAAAATGCGTGTCCTGATCGTGATCGTCGCTATCTGTGCTATCGGCATCTATGCCGCTCCTCAACATGGATATGACTACGCCAGCAGCAGCAACAGTGTATTATCAGCACGCGCTGGCAGCAACGGTATCCTTCCAGTTGGCGGTGGTGGTGGTGGTGGTGCTGGTGCTNACTGGCAACGGTATCCTTCCAGTTGGCGGTGGTGGTGGTGGTGGTGCTGGTGCTGTTGCCAACGGTCAAGGCAATGCTCTAAACCATGGCAGCGGGCGCGGTGGTGACAAATATTTGCCACCCGAATCCGACCAACAATCACCACTCATCAATAAACAATTCTACACAATCTCCGCACCCGAAGATAACACACCGAAAGCAAAACATTTAGTTTTGGGCAAACCGCAAAAGAACTACCGTGTGATCTTCATCAAGGCACCACAACCCGATGACGTTAAGTATTCGGCTGAATTTGCACCACAAGAAGAGAAAACTGTTATCTATGTGCTGCACAAGAAGGGCGAAGATGTCGATGCGGCCAACATTGCCACACCAGCGCCAACCGTGCCGAGCAAACCAGAGGTGTTCTTCATCAAATACAAGACACCTGAGGAGGCACAACAAGCCCAGAAAGAAATTCAGGGTGAGTATTTAGAAGATTCTCAACCAAAGAGTAACTGACGATTAGGTCACAATACATAGAATTGAAAGCATTACACAGGGGCTCGTATGAATGCTAATAATTTCTTTATAATTTTCAACTTTCAGATCAATACGACCAACTGGGCGGAAACAATCAATTCGGCGAGGATACGGCACCTATTACCTC